AAAAGAAAAATTCACATTTTTCCCAACCAAAAATCACCTCACCAAGGCTTAAGATCCCCCACAGGGCCCGCAGTCCAGTTCAAGACCTTCTCCCCAGGCCTCAAATACACTCCCGGGCCATGCGGCAGCTTACGGGCCAGCCCATTCAATATCTGGTGAAAGGCGTCTCGCGACTGGGCTGGCTGCGGGAAGAGCATCGCCTGTTTCATCGAAGGGTTCGCCAACAGCCTCTGCTTCCTAAGAATCTCCTCAATAGGTATAGAGGTCAAAATCGTGTCGAGCTTCGGCACATCCTTCTCTGCCACAAAAACACCAATCTCCTCCCAAGGGATTGCATCAGCAAACGGGAGCACGATGTCATCGGCAATGATGACTGGGATGCACCCGAACACTACAGCTTCCACTAGCCTCGGGCTCCATGGGGCCCACCCGAGTGGGCAGAGGCAGAAAACGGCCCGTTGCATGTCCTCGTAATACGTGCTCGGGTGCTCGGTCGAGATGTCGAAAAGCGGGTTGTTCTTGAAGTTCTCCCAAACCGAAGCTCGTGCACCCCTTATTTGAAATTACCACAAAAAATAGAAAAAGAAATCATTTTTTAACTCGAATTTAATTCAACTACACTATTCTCAACATTATCGATATAATTAAAATACCAGTCAATTATTTGAACTAACTATCATGCACATTATCTAGTCTCATACTTTTACATCAAATAAATTTTAATTATTTTATTTTAAATATTTTTTCAATATAAACTCAAAATCTCACTGACAACTAACCATACCACAATTTTAAAAATGAACTATGGTTAACAAAAAAATCAATCAAAACCAAATCAAATCCATATCCAATCACTCCCAAAGTAGTTTTAGTGTTTGATCAATCAGACCAAAAAAAAGGGAGAAAATGAGGTACCAACTTAGTTAAATCATAAATTTATATTGGGAGAACAAAGTATCACAAGATTCGAGTCGAGAAATCGAACCTTGCGTAGTAACCGCCTTCAGGGTCGTTGCCGATATCGTAAAACAAACCTCGGAAGTAAACAAATATGGATCGAGGGGTGGTGGGAGGGATCAAATGGGCTTGCATTTTCTGAGGAGGGGCATATGGGGGAATTGTGATCGAGCCATCTTTTAGGCAGACGTGATTTCGCTGTCCGAAAGTTTGAACCAAAGTGGCGCGTTGGAGAAGAGGAAGTATACCTCTGCCTATGGCTTTCTCTTCCTACGGACGAGAGAAATACGGACCTTTCAGTTAACTTCACTCTGGGTGTTTAGTTTGATAACAAAAAGATTCAGTCATGTACTAATATTTCAATTTCCACCTTACATGGTGTAAACAATTTTTGTTCTACTAATTTCACTTCAAGAGGGTGGGAGAGGTAATATGAAATTAGTTACACAAATAAGTTCAGTAATTTTGGAACACAAATCTTCATTTTGTTAGGAATAATTACAGAAACGGTCCCTCACCCTGAGGTTTGGTTTTAACTTTCAATACAAAATCGTATCTTTCCTAAAAGCTACAAGAAACAGATCCAATCTTGATATTATCATACATTTTCCCTCTCCCTAAGCAATAAACATTTACAAAACATTTCAAGTTTATAAAATATAAAGTGATGCGCTAAATTTTGAGACAAAACAAACTAAAGGGGTCTTTGTAGTTCCAGTAAGTTAGCTATATATCTGAGTGTTCTTCTTTTTTTTTTTTCCCCCTATTTTTTCTTTGCAATTCTCAGTTCAATTAATTTATTTACTTTGACACAGATTACATGAAACCTCAAGCAATCAACAACTTCATACCCATTAAGCACCAATATCTCATCACTCCACTTTTGAGAGAAATTGACAAGAAACTCAGAAAAATCAAATATTAAAAACTTTAATTATAGTAACACAACAACATTAAATATAGAAAAATCTTACAAGATAGTGAAAGCACGGCCCGAAATCATGAGGCACGATGAAGAAGTGATCGGCCCCCTCAGTCCTATTCCAATACGGCCATTTCGAAGAAACGAGCTGTATAGCACTCCTCATCATACGAGGTGACTTGAAAGGCAACGGGAGGCCGGTTCTGGTCAGGTCGCAGGTCGGATAAACGGGTGCGTAGAACCAGTCAGCTTCTTCCGGGTTAAGCGTTCGGACAGGGCTCGACAGCAAAAAACGATGCATGTAAATCTCGGCAGCAAACATATGGGTTAGGCATCTTGGGTCCTTTTGCAATCGCTTTTTGTTGTATTTGCTCGGGAGCTCGTAAATAAACACTTTTAGCCTTCCGACTGGATCGTCCTCCAACACGTCACCAGCACTTCCTGATATTTTCATTAGTCAACCGCATGAATATACAGAATTATTTTTACATTAATATATTTTTGTATAGTAATGTGTATAAACATAATTCATAAGATAAAAAGATTCTGAATGGGTTATGATTATCACCATATAAATTTCACCATTTAAGAGGAATTTAAAGCTTTTAGTCATACAGTCTGGAAGGAAGAGATTTTATAATATGGCTAATATTACAGCTTTCGACTCATCAAGGGCGCCATTTACCATAAAAGAACCGATAAATGCCTTCAAAAAAATTAAAGCATGCATCAAATGAAAGTAATTCTGGATCCTTACCTGTTCAAAACCTATACAATTTCTAACATACTAAAGAAATAAGTACACAAGCCTAAATCCAAGCAAGAATTCAGAAGGTCCAACACCTCATAGGACTAAAAACATTGAAGTACATGTTTTAATGCCAAATCCATACATGTTTTTCTAAGAATTTTGTTAGCCTGTACATTTAACAAGAACACATCATCTTGGTCGGGATATCTGGGTTCGGTGGGCAAACGAAAAGAAGAATGGGGAACTACTATATGATCGACTCCAGTGTTCTTAAACCAGCAAACAAAGCTATTGAATTTTTTAATCAAAGAATGGAACTTTATATACTAATCCATTTTATTCAGGAAAAGCCAAACAATAATAAGTAACAATAACTTGCTACATTGCTATGTCTCAGTAAACATATAACTTACAAGTTACAACAGAGTTACCCAAACATAGCATTTCCAAGTCAAATTCCACACACAGTTCACTTCACCATCAAAATCCCCAATATCACAGATCAAATAAACCAAAACAAAATGAGCTCATAACCAACCACCAAATTTCCCACAAGTGAATTAAAGCCAGAACNCTCTCAGTTCGTTCAGTCCTATGAAATTTAAAAGCTCCAATCCCCATAGCAATCGCAAGATAGAGAAACACAGTAAAAACCCACCTCGGGTTCTTCATTTTCTTCCCCAAAATCCTTCACTTTATCTAAAAACAAATCAAGAAACCCAAATTTTCGACAGGAGAAATCTGCTTGAGGAGACCCAAAAATTTGTATTCACTTGACTAAATAATATATGCTAACGGGTGGGAGGAGAATCGAAGCTGAATTGTTGGGATGTCATTACAGAAAGCGGTTGTCAGGGAAAAAAAAAAAGAAAAAAAAAGCACCATTCTCGCAATGTGTCACTCTTTCATTAGGAAAAAAAAAAATGAAAACAATGATGAATGTGCGTAGATAATTGCTTCAAGAAACGGGGAAAGATTGAAAGCTCCATGCTTGAATGGAGGATTTGTAGGTTGGTCTTTAGTTGGTTGTCGAGGAGCTGTTACAAAATTCTGTTCTTTGGGGAAACTTTGGCAGCAAATATTTTTGTTTACTTTATTAACACTTCAGTATTTATTTGATATCTTACTATTGAACGCTCATATTACCAAATGACGAAATTTTGGAATAATTATTACCAGTTCTAATAGTGAAACGTGTTTATAATTATATTGATCTGGATTATATTCTTGAAAAAATTAATGCCCGAGTTACTCGTTGAATCCATATTGTGCATTATTAAACATTAAATCTGTGACCACTAAACATATGTTAAGAGTTCAAAATTTTTTAATTAGAGGTTGTATATAATATTAATTTTCCCAAAGTCAGCCATACAAAATAGGTTTGTATCTACCAAACAGGGCTGAAGCTATATATACTGTTTAACTTATTATTTTGGAAACTTCCTGGTTAAGTTCCTTTGTTATTCATGCTTATCAACTGTTCATTACTTATTAGGCAATGTTGTTATAATTTTACCCACTCCTTAACACATACAAACACGTGTTGAATGAGAAAACGATGACATTTCCCTGCACGTTTCACATCAACCCGTGCGGTGACCTTGTTCCTCAAAACTTATTTAAAACTTTATTTTTAAATATAATTACTAAAATTTAAATATTTTAGTATGATAAAAAATTAGATACAACGTATGAAAAATCATATATTGTTGAACAAATTTCTATACATAATATTTTTTGTTTGATTTTGTGGCAAACCTTCTTGTCAACAAATTAAAATTTTCAAACACTTGTGTGAAAAAAATTAAATTATAATATATTATTTGTAGTGTGATAAATCGTAATATATTATTTTTTGTGTGATAATATGTGTTGGGATAACTATGACCATTTGAAAAATATTTAATAGTAATCTTAAAACTTTAAATTTAAAAAGATAAATATGACCATTTGAAGAAATATTTATTTGTAATCTTAAAATTTTAAATTTTGAAAAATGACTGTATATATGCGCCAAGTTTTTAGGAACCAATCGATCATATAATATAAAATTCTTATATGATTTCCAGAGTCTTACGAACGTGACATGAACTTCATTTTTAATTTCAAATTTAAACAAATCAAAAGACAAATTATTAGGTAGTTATGAAAAAAAGTATCCAACAAACTATTTTTTAATTTCAAATTTAACAAATCAAAAGACAATTATTAGGTAGTTATGAAAATAGTCTCCAACAAACTTCAAATTAAACGACACACAACCATCAGATCTGGAGTTGGTTGCAGTCGGCGATCACCACCCGTCTCGAGGTCCGGTGGCTCCCTGACCCGACATTCTCCACCGCCTTCAACATGTCGTACTCCTCCACCACCTGCCCGAACACCACGTGCTTGTCGTCAAGCCACTTCTTCCTTGTCGTGCAGATGAAAAAGTGCGTGTCATTTGTCCCCGGACCAGCCTTCGCCATCAACAGGTCCCGGTGTGCTTTCTCATGATGTTCTCGGCGGTAAACTTGGCGTCATAGATCGACTTGCCGCCAGTGTCGTTACCCGCAGTGAAGTCACTGCTCTAAAAAATGAAATTGGAGATTACACGGTGGAAGGATGAACACGATGAACAGTGTCCGAGCTACAGTTACTACAAATATCATTGCATTTGATTGGTCGGAAAAAGTGTGTATTTTATATATTTATTAGCGCATTTTTATATGCTTAACTTTGTCTTACATATATATTTTTAGACTTATTTATTAGATAGATTCAAGTGCTATGATATATTTATTGTTTATAATCAGACTATTGGAGTACTTTTATGGCGAGACATTAAACGGAAGTTCCGACCGGCAGAATATAGGGTACCCCATACCATCCCAATTTTTGGGCCCATTCTTGCCAGATTTGCCGAGTCCTTCTCATCGGTGCATAGGGCGCAAAAGTTCTCGTCGGTCTTCGTGACGACATCGGCGAAGAGCTCCATCACGATTCAACGGCGGGGCTAGCTGCTGACCGTTATGTCGAAGTAAACACTAGGATTCGATAGGTTGATTTTGAATTTTTTATTTATGAGTTTTTTGTGATTTTTTTTTTTTTTGTCTAAAACTTAGGGTTTTGTGATTGGGTGGGGAGGGGTTTTGTTGGGTTCGCTAGTACCGTACGGGCTTTAAGCAGCGGAATTTAAAATTTTTAAAGTAAATATTTATCGTATAAATACAATACCTGTACATACTAATTGCGAATTAACTGATCGTCATCTTTAAAACATGCATCATATACAAATTTTGATTTGTTATATAAAAGTAAATACCAGTTCAAATATTTACCGAATGTCTTGAACTCCTTCAACGACGATGTGGATTGTGGGAATCGGTTCCCGGTTTGATAACTTCAACGGATTGAGGTTACTCACTTTAGGAATCCAAGTGTCTTCCCTCTAAACGTATCCACCCTATGAAGCCCGGTTCCGACGACCTTCCTTCGCTAGTAGGAATGACTCGGTTTTCTCGTATAGGAATATGTATGAATTTTATTTGAGAAATTTCAAGAACTCTTTCTTGATGTTTATGAAGAACTCTTCTTCTTTCTAACACTTAGAAATTTTAGGAATGAATTCACCTTAAATGCAAAACCATTTTGCACATATTTATACTAAACATTTTAGCATAAAATAATCAATATTTAGTAATATTTAAATAAAATCTGATTTTATTTAAATACAATTACTAACTATTGACTTTATATATAATAAACAATGTGAGATGGTTCAAACAACCATCTAACCACCATTTATTATAATCATATTATTATTTTAATCCTTAAATCATATTTAAAGATAATAGAATAATAAATCTTGAGAATCTATTCCAAGACTTAAAGAGATCTATTCATTGATAAGAAGAAGAAAAAACGTTTTATTATTATATTTATTTCCCAATTTTCATCCATATTATAATAATTATATTATTATTATTTTGGATTTGAAATTTAAAATCCTATTTTAAAATTCAACTTTATTAATTTAGTAATTACCTTAATTACTAAAGTAATATCCAAAATGTAATTAATCAATCTTATTGATTAATATATTCCTTTAATTGACATCTAATCAAATTAGATATTTATCAATTAATTCTAACCATTAGAAATACAATCTTTACCTTTGTTCATAATTAGTGTGACCTTTTAGGTTCACCTTAATACTAGTAATGGGTTTATAACACTTTATAATTTGAGTTAAATCTTATTAACTCTTATTCATGAATTAACCCTTTAATTCATGAACCCACATATCATGGGAACACCTAGCAAGTAGCATGAATCTAGTATTAAGTGAATAGCGAGTAAACCTATTCCGATTACAACTCCATACATGTAAAATCCTTTCGACATCTAATTTCCCGATTAAGTCTTGAGTATGATTTTGTCGAAACCCAAATTGACTTAATAACTATGATTCTAATTCAAGTTTATTAACCCGGTTATGAATCACTATTCATCTCTGCCTTGGCCAAGGACTTTGGATTAATAACTATGAAACACATAGGAAATTCACTTATCTTCATAAGTGTCGAATCCTTTATTGGCCACTAACAAACTTTCATACATATTAACATAATACCCAACTTATCCCTTTAAACGATAGTGCTAGCTACCAAAAGGATAAATCAAAGTAAAATGTAATATGCACAAAGTTACCATTGTGCCTCAAGCTTAGGATTAGTCATGTACTATTGTAACATGAAAATTCTTATTCGACTGAATAAATTCTTCATTAAGAATTTTCATACGGTCATGTTCAGTGAACTTGTTCTCTAACAAGCACCCACATAAATGTATTTGCGTCACACGCTAATGTTGATGGAATGCAACATTCTTGTCCAACAAGCGTACAAATTATGTGCAAGTCTTTTATGGATTATTCGATATCCCATCTCGAAACATCCATCGACTTGGAACTGTTTTTAAGATCACAGCTTTCAAGGTATGTTCCATGATCACCATCTCTATGCGTAACCATACCTTATAACTATATGTGATCTAGGGATTTTATCTTAAGTGCAATTATAAGATAAATGCTTTCTCTTAAGATAAAGAAATGCCTTATTAATAATATAATTCCAATAGACTGTATTTACAAGTAGAATACGTCCAATTAGATTGGAACGCCGGGTACCCTACTCTAACAGGTTTGTATAAGGGATCGATTGAGTGCAAACTTTAAAAAAATGGATTCTTTCTAAACTTTAGAAAGATATTGTAGTTAGATAAATATGGAGAAAAAAATATGAAAAATGCTATAGGTACATAATACTTTACATAGAGGTGTACATAACACTCACATTAAGCGGGTCCTACCAAAAATAAAAAATCATTTGGACCCCACTCCATGTGAGTGTTATGTAAACCTCTATGTACATTTATTATATACTTGTAGCATTTTTCAAAAAATATTTACCATGAATTCACATTATATGAGATTCTTTCCAAACTTTACAAAGATTTTGTAGTTTAATAGATATGGACAAAAAAATATCCATAGATAGAGATTTGCCCGAAATTTCAAACCTTTTTTTATATATATAAATCAATTTGTGCTTTGGGTGGGAATTTGCAATTTTTTTAAAAAAGTTCATTATCAGTAAAAACGAAAATTTTAGGCGGGATTTTACATACTATTCACAACTACATGTTTTGCCTTTTTATATATTCATAGATATATATTTAAGTCGTAAATTTTTTATATTATATGATTATATGGCTAAAAATATGTTGTTTCAATCAAATAAGTCATATATTATTTCAGTTAAAGAATATAAACTACCAAAAAATAGAAAAGTTATTAAGATATATGTCATAAAATAATGTAATTTATTATTTTTAAGAAAAACAAATCAATATATTTACACACAAAATTCATAAATATAAATAATTTATGGAGGATTGAAGTTTATCAATATTTAGTATAACATCCATTATTCTCGGAACAACTTTTTGTTTGATTTGCAACATTAATTTGAATGAAAAAAAAATCCGTATTTATTGGAATATCTTGATTCAAAATCTCAATTTTTTGGCATAAGAATCTCCAAATTTACTACCAATAAAAATGGGATTCGTATTGATGAAATGAATTAAAGTTTGACATAAGAATCTCCAAATTTGTTACCTTAAGAATCTCCAATTTTTATGGGATATCACATTAAATTTGATTCTTAAAGAAAATAAGTTTTTTCAATCAAATAATTCATATATTATTTCAATTAAAGAATATAAACCACCAAAAAATAGAGAAGATTTTAGGATTTAGGTCATAAAATAGTGTAATTTATTATTATCTAAGAAAACCAAATCAATATATTTACACACAAAATTGATAAATATAAATAATTTATGGAGGATTGGAGTTTATCAATATTTAGTATAACATCCATTATTCTCGGAACAATTTGTTGTTTGATTTGCAACATTAACTTGAATGGAAAAAAAAAATCTGTAATTGTTAGGATATCTCAATTCAAAATTTCAATTTTTGCCATAAAAATCTCCAAATTTGTTACCTATAAAAATGAGATTCGTATTTATGAAATGAATTAAATTTTGGCATAAGAATCTCTCCAAATTTTTGACTTTAAGAATCTCAAATTTTTTTGTGATATCTCACTTAAATTAATTTCCTAAAGAAAATAAGTTGTTTTAATCAAATAAGTCAAATATTATTTCAATTAAAGAATATAAACCACCAAAAAATAGAAAAGAAGTTAGGATTTAGGTCCTAAAATAATGTAATTTAGTATTATTTCAGAAAAACAAATCAATATATTTACACACAAAATTCATAAATATAAATAATTTATGGAGGATTGTAGTTTATCAATATTTAATACAACATCCATTATTCTCGGAACAATTTTTTGTTTGATTTGAAACATTAATTTGAATGGAAAAAAATTCGTAATTGTTGGGATATCTCAATTCAAAATTTCAATTTTTTGGCATAAGAATCTCCAAATTTGTTACCAATAAAAATGAGATTCGTATTTATGAAATGAATTAAATTTTTGCATAAAAATCTCCAAATTTGTTACCTTAACAATCTCCACATTTTTTGGGATATCTCCCTTAAATTTGATTTCTAAAGATTCACATGTGCTTTTTTCAAAATTTCCACTAATAGTAAGTCAACACTTTATTTTTAAAGTCAAAGTTACTATTTTTGTATTTTTCCAACAACCTCTTTATATTACTACAGATGTTATTTGAGAGCTTCTTGTAAATCATTTTTCCCTACTCACGACATTGACTTAGGCTCAACGATTAAGGGGTATTTGTATATAAAATGATTCGACTCATACTTAATTCATACTCAAAATTTAACTCAACCTCACCATTCTCAGTATTATTAATAAAATTAAATAATATCAATCAATAACATATCACAGCTATATTTGGTAAAACTAACTGATAAGATATCTGATAGCTGATAAGCTAACTTATAGCTTATATGTAATTTTCGAACTTATAGTTTATAGCTTATGATTTATAGTTGAAAATCTAGCTTATATGTTAAAAGTGTTTGGTAAAATTGACTGATAAGATAACTGAAATAAAAATTTCAACTACCTTATTTAAAAAGCTACCTAAACAAGCTTATGAGATAAATTCGAGCTTTTTAAGAAAGCTCATCCTACCAAACAAGACTTATTTAAATACAGGAAACTTTTAAACTAACCAAATAAGCTATGAGCTAGCTTATTTGACTACCAAATCAACTTTAACTAGGGCGTACCCCGTGAGATGCACGGGTAATAATATTAAATAATACTTATAAATTAAAAATGTGGATAAATAATAATTCTAAATTAATGATTTGGGTAAATAATATCAAATAATAATTATAAATTAAAGATGTTGAGTTAACATATGCGATATAATTTATGTATATCAGTTTGTTGTAAACAATATAAAATTCTTAAAATATTA